TAAACACGTATTATATGCAAATATACCTGCAGCCGGGATAGTTCACTGCTCTCCCATAGTCGAGTACGATGTACTCGAAATCGTTAAATAGTTTTTATAAACCCACCCATGTCTTGTTTTCATTAAATGTAGTAGCAAAGCAATAACAAATATAGCAAGAAAGAGAAAGTTCTGTGAATAAGGCCAGGAAAAGGCGGTAAGCCTTTTTTTTTTGTGCTGAGTTAAGAAAAAGCGATGTGGTTAGATTGTCTTTACAACTCGGGAGGTTAAAAAAAAACTAACAATAAAGAAGGTGTGGATTCTTGTGTATGATTTGCCATAACCTGTTCTACAAAATGCTTACAATGAATACTTAATAACGAGAAACTTGCGGAGACTTAATGTCATGCTGCAGGCATGGAGATATGAAAGAGAGCCAGTGATATCCGCATTTTCCCTTATAACTGCTGATACAGTATACATAATTCTATGCTTTTGATCACAAAAGCTACTACACGCCTTTATTTCTGAATGAGAGAAGACAGTAAAGAACACGAACGATGACAGATATTTCTCGGGAAACGTTTAGCTGCACCATGCCCACAATAAACATATTTTTCAATGCCACCACGCTCTTCACCCATTCCTCTGTGGGGTGAATGCGGGCGATCACTAAAAGAAAACCAAACCTAGTTTAGCCAACTCGATGGTTGACATATATGATTGGAATCACGGGCGTACTCAATGATCCCCTTCAGGTGGGTGGTGGGGGATAATGATTTGTCGCAGAGCCCTCCTCCTCCCTATCAAGTCATTGTATGGAGCATACATTGAACCCCCCCTCTCTCTTCGTTGACTATATGTGGAGGGCTACCACCTCCCTTTACACACACCTATGCCCAGAACACTGTTCAGACAAACGTAAGGACTGCAACCGACGGGCGCACCTCGGGCACATAATCTGAGCTTAGCCCAACATACTGCGAAGGGACCAAACAGCACATGGAAGTGATGCACCGCTGTATTCTCCGCTGCCCAATAAACTCAGACAGCAAGGATGAACTACAAATCATCAGGGTAGCCGAAGATGCAGCTATAGGACCCGAGCGCCATCAAAGGGAAGGGAGACTAAATCAGCCAGCTGACGCGTGCTGTTATCAATATAAAGGTGGTTTCGTCATTTGGCCACTATATACCTTTAAAAGCTGTCGTGGAACAGGCGTCGGTGGCTGGCGGTGTTGCGAAGTCTTCGCGGGGCCGGCCAAACAGCTGGCCGGAGCTGCTGAGGAGGACGCGAGCGCGCCAGCAGTTAGCATGCACGCCAGCGGGCGTATTTCCTCGCCGAGGTGGCGAGTTCAGCCTCCGCAAGAAGGCGTTGCGCAACGCACCGAGCGAGCACCCCTGACTCTGCGTCGCCCGTGTATCTGATCTCGCCTCTGTCCCACTGATCATCTTACAGCTGGGCGGGCGTTCGCCGAGGGACGCGGAGTGTATACGTAAGCAGCCTACTCGCATTCGCAGAGTATACGTCAGCCGGTGCAAGCGCCCGCTGCATGAATGAGAATATCGGATGACTGCCGTTTCTCGACTAGGCGCGTGATCGAAAATTTTATGAGGTATATACCTTAGAGCAGAGAAGGTGATTCTTAAGAGAGAAAGGAAGAGAAAAGTGAGCCCCGTAACTGTCTGTTTCAGTGAGCGACACCTCAACAGTAGCTCACAAGGGATGGGGGTTAGGAGGGATAAAAGGGGTAGGAGTAAAGGTGTAGAAAAGAGGAAGAGACGTGAGGTGGTAAGCCAGAAGGAGCGACAACAAACTGAGGGGATAGGAGAGATGGAAACACGGTCACAGGAGTCCGAGCACGGGGCACCACTTGCGAGAGCTCTTGTCGGCGTCAGTAGATGGCGTAGAGCAAGTCCAGTCGGTCAGAGTTACACTGTCGTCGAAGGTCGTCGGCGTCAGGAGGTGACGTATAGGCGAGCCCAGTCGGCCAGAGCTACGCTGACGCCGAGTCTCGTTCACCTTATACGGCGTTAAGGGTTTTCTCCTCGCAAATGCATGCACTGGGCCGCGCGTATAGATAAGATATGGTTGAGGTAGTCCCCCCTCCTCTCCATAAAAAAGAAAGAAAAAAGCAAACCCCTTCCCACGTCCTCCCACTTTTGGCTTCGTCTACTACTGGGGGCTTATCCACGGGATAGCCCGACGGGTGCCTCGAGCTCTTCGGTGTTATTGTCATAACCACGAGTAAATCTGCCGTGTCACTACTTCGGAACACTTAGCCGCCACGAAAGAAAAAAAAACTATATTGTATTAAGCTTGTTAATCCGATCTAAAGCGTTTCATATCTCAGTGAAAGTTTATTTCGCTAAGCTCAGAGGATGCGAAGGAGAACAAATCGCAGAGCTCCGGATTAACGTGCCGTCACTGATGAGAAAACAAAATGAAACAAAAGCAGTCCCCAGTAAGGCTTGAAGGGGAATGCAGGATTATAATTTGTCATGTGAATGATTTTTTTTCTAATTTGGAGTAATTTTATTACTTTGCACTTGTTTACTTCTTCAGTTGAATGAACTCATTATCCGCATTTCACACCTCTTTATTGAAACGTATACTTATTCTCAAGTTGGGTCAATCCTCTCCATTCAGTGCAAGCCATGTGCAGAGGAAAACGACAACAATTAATGGTTGAATTGGTTCATCCGCATTTGCATTTACCTCAGTTTCTACGATGTATACTTCGAAAAATCGGTACACGCGTATTTTCCCACAGAATGCATGCTGCCGCGTCAGAAAATACAATCCACGACAGGGATTGCTGTTAGGTGTCTATATACGCCAAATCAGCCCCTTAACAATTTCGCCTCGACAAAAATTTCAAGTTGGCGCCCTGGCTACTTTGTGGCTACTTTTGACTTGTGTATCTGTGCATTAAATAGCCATTTTTCATACTTTCTGTGGACTAAACACGCTATTTCCAAAGCTGTTTTGTCATATTAGCCTATGTGAGCACGCGTCTATCGCCTACGAGCAAGTTAATGCGCATTAAGCTCCCCCCCCCCCCCCCTTTTTTTTAACCTAACACAACGCCTGCAAATATGAAGTGGCCAAGTTACATGCATATTGACAAACGTGTAACTTTAGCACGCTGCCCGCCATCTATACTGATGCATCCCAAAAGTTTCCAATTCTCAGATGCGCAGTATGTATTCTCGCGAGAGAGGACCGCTACAGAACGAAGCTGGACCCTTCATCTTAGCCAGATTTCACTATCAGAAGCTTGAGAGGTATTACGTAACAATTAACTCATCAAATTCAACATGTGGCTCCAAGAAAAAAAAATGTTTTAACGTTTTATACTCGAATGTCCGCACTGACTTGTCGGCTGAAATGTTCCATAATTACTCTTCATTCGTCTATAAAACAACTGCAAGCTAATCTACATAAAATATATGCACGACATACTGAATTATTATGATTTATTATTTTATTTTCAGCTCATTTTCGGATAGCAGACCAAGCAAGGAAAGAAGTGTCCTTTTATTTCTATGGCCCTCTTTATTCGAAACTATATATTATGTTGTTCAGTAATAAAAAAAAAAATCTCCCAATACAGCCTCTGTTCAATTGGCCATAAATATAGCGATAAAATGAATGGTATGGCTACATTGGCTGCTTGCTAGCTTGAGTGAGTTCTGGCTACTTTTAAAATTCACCCTACGGTGATCCTGTCCACGACTTTGTGTTCAGCAGTGCAACGCTATATCAGCGACAACCCATCTTTATCGGGTGTCCTGTCCATCGGAGTGTAAGGATGTTTCGGAAAGTCGAGTACGGTCTGTGCGACTTGGCGAAGTGCATTAAAACCACACTCCGTGGAAAACGTTCGAAGCTTGTGTACTCTCAAAGGAGTCAAACGTATTGCCATTCCACACATAAAATGTGGTGAGTCAAACCAAAATCCATATTTATTTTGGAGTTTTCCCTCCTCAAAATAAAACAGAAAAAAAACGAAATAACCTTCTTTAATATAACTTCAGTTCCATGTGATGATACCAGTTAAGTGATAATGATCCCGGATATTAATTTTTATGTTGAACCCGGTTGTGCATCATGCTCATACCACTTCATGAGTTCCTGCTCCTGGCGAAAAAAATAGTATTCCCGGAAAAAACAAAAGGAGAGAGCGTCCAAGAATAAAATACTCGAATACTTTTTCAGCATCTGAGGCTAACTTTCGTTATATATATTGTACAAACTATATTAACTCCATGAGGTATTTACATCGCATGCAGTAATTATTACCAACAAACGAAGAGTGAATAAAGAATAGCACAGATATCCCACTTCATGCGTATATATGTGTATATGTGTAAGGTGCTATTAAGCACCTTACACATATATTGAACTGTATGCACATCTAATCGCGTACCTGTTAGGCTTTTATCTCAAACTATACAATGCCCATCTAATCCCGCTACCAGGCGCGAATACGTAGATGTAAGCTCAATCGTATGTCTCTTTGTTAAAGCTTCGTGCATGCACTGATGGCATGCATCCCACGCGTGAATCATCGGGCTGGATCGCGATTGTGGTTTGACATTCAAAGGGTGGGTTTACACACGCATGGTATTCGGATGGGGGGCCGGCGCCGGTCTCAGTTAACTGCCTGGCACTATACATGCGTATACCGCGAAGTTGCTTGCAACTTGCAACAAACGGAGCCCCTCCTCCCTGGCACGTACCCCCTTCCCCTTCTCTGTGCAGCACTCATCCACGCAGCGGCTGGCTGCATTGCTGAGAGAGCGCGATGCTGTTTTCTTGTCACCCGAGAATTCTCCCACGGACGCGAACCCCTTGGCTGGGGCTGGAAATTTGCCAGGGTCGACGACGCTTCTGGTGCGCTTTGAACCGCGGTGCTTTCTTGCATCACGCGCCTTTCTTTTTCTTTTTTTTTTCCCGCTGGGTGTTTTCTTCGAGCGCCGAAGGTTCGGGCCTTGACGACCGTTCGCAGAATAAGCCCCTTAAACGACGCCGCACGCGGCCTGTCCTCCTCTCCCCGTGGTTGGCCCGTTGGCGGGCCCGAACTCTTGGTCGCAGTCCGGGCAATCCCTCCGTGTGTCACCGCCCGTTCCAGGAACCGTCACGCACCCAGACGAGTGGTGTACGAACGACTCAAACGAAATGTTGCCCGTAAACAAGAGCAGTTGCGCGCTAGGTTCCGGATGACGCGCGTCTTCCCGGTTATCTATTGCGGCTAACGGAAGCTTCCCTTGTCTGTCTCCTCGGACTCGGGCGTTGAGCCATACTCGTGCGCACGCGTCAGCAAGCGGCTGTCCACTCCACTCCACGCCGAAGCTCAGCGCGGCTATCAGCCCAGTTTTGACAGCGCGAGGTCCGAGAATCGCAGGGGCCTTTCCTCCTTGCTTATTCTGCTTCTCGAGTGTCTTGAGAGATATATACGCGGGGTCGCAGCCAGTTGCACGAGCATACAAGCGACTAACTGCGTACGTCTGTCGCGACGGCGGCCATGGCCTCTCCGGCGCAGCGTACTTCGTTCCTAGTGCTCGTTTTCGCTTCGGTATGCGCGGTCTGCAGAGGACAAAGCAGGCTGTACGCACGGCTAGACAAAGTCGAGACACTCATCACCGAAGTTCGAGACCAGTTGCAGGTAGAGAACAATCTACGGACCACGCAGACGGTGAGCTTTCAGATGGCACTGGATAAGGTCCAGAAGCAGCTGGAAGACGTGTCGTCCAAGATGGGTCGTGTGGCAAGCAGTGGCGGCGGTGGCGGTGAAGGTTCAGTTGAGTTCAACAGCCGTCTGAGAAGCCTCGAGTCGGCCTTTAACAACCTCCAAGGTGACGTGGGTGGTAAGGTGGACACCAGCATCGCCAAGCTGACAGAGGTCGAAGCGAGAACGGCACGCATGAAGGACGACATGGACAGCAAACTGAAGAAAGTCATGAATGGCATAAACACGATCTACGACATGAACAAGGAGCTCAAGAACACCATGAGCTCCGCTTCACGTGCCGTCGCGGAACCGGAGCCGTCCCGGAAGGAGGGTTCTCGTAACGTTGGAGGCTCGGCCGACACGTCGCTGTCTTTCCTCGTGGACACCATAGACGACACGCAAAGGAAGATGCACGAGCAGCTGGATGTCCTGAAGAACCAGATGGGCAGGAAGCTGGAAGGGCTAGAAGTGCTCACCAACAGCCTCATCGAACAGAACGATGCTCTGTTGAATGAGCTGGATTCGCTCAAGGAACAGTGTCCCGGCATGGCCGACAATGCGCGCTCGTTGGACGCTCCGCCTGCGACTCCACGGCCTCCGAGGAAGAACACGGGAGGCCAGAACGGAACCGGAGGCTCCGAGGTCGCGAACAGGATGCTGCTGGAGATCAAGGTGAGCCAGATGGAGATGAAGAACGACTTCAGCAAGATGATGCGAGAAGTCGAGAACAGTCTCAGCGACATCAAGGAGTGTCGCGTTTCTGGAGCTCCCTCTCCTGGAAAAAATTTCGAACCCAGGTCTCCGAAAAAGGGTCACCGACGGCGATGACTTGACGGCGGCGGAAAGCATCACGCCTTCACGCAGAGCTCCAGTTTCCAGCGTCCAGTCCGTCGGTGAAAAATGTGTCACGGCCACGCACGTGATGAGCCCTCGAAACTGCGCAGACCTACGCACTGGTGGCGCGACGTGCGATGGCATCTACATCGTGTACACGCAGGGCGTCCGAGCCGTTCGGGTCTACTGCGACATGTCTACCGACGGAGGTGGATGGACGGTGAGGCTAATTTTGCATATTTAAAAAGAAAGCATTAATAGTAATAAAATACGAATGAAATACAACTTATTGTATTAGCAACAGTAGACCTGACCTTACACTATAAGGGCGTTCAATTTGCGCGCTGATACCGAGTTGGATTACCCAACTGTATAGGCAAAACGTACTTGATCTTTTTTTTTTAATTTGCCCACTATACACGAAGCAGCTTTTCTGCTTTCATAGCAGCATTCCTAATTTATCTTTCGTAGGGCAAACTCTCTCACACCCAGGACCAGCATGGAGTTACTGATGTTCATCTCTGGTGACTTCATGTCATTCGTTCAACTTCCTTCAACACTGTGCACTCAGAGCTACTATACCTAGCATATAGAAGCGGAGCATGCGAACTTTACATATTTTAATACAGCGCACCACACGTCGTTCAAATATACGCACTGAGATTTTACGCAGTCAAGCTAAGTTAGCTTATTCAGGGAGCTAGTAAGCTAAATGTGGAGGTTTACCGGAGCCCTTCACTGCTTACTGCATGTTTCATAACGATGAAATCTCTTCAACCATTTCGGTTTGACCTTACCAATTAATTATTCCGCATTGACCCTGGTGGGGAGGGGTTATCCTTGTACTTGGAGCGCATATTCGTTCTTCGAAAATACACTATTTTTTTGTAGTATTGTGGCCAGTGATCCAAAGGCACAGCGACAGCTATGATTTACATGTTCATGGTCTGTGCCCCTTTAGCACCACCCTTCACCCCTCGCTCTGCTGACGCCCATGAATATATTTGTGAAGTGCATAGATGGGCTTATTCATTGAAAATGACGGATCAAGCCCATTGCGCACGATACAATGATGCATCGAATGTTGAAACACACATATCGTGACCTTTGTCCAAACAAGCTAAGACAGTCCGCACGGGGCTGCTCCTATCTTCTCCGCAGGTGCTTATGCGTCGGGGCAACTTCAGCCAGTGGCCGTTGACCTTCGAGACCGACTGGAACAGTTACAAGCACGGCTTCGGCGACATCGAGCGCGAGTTCTGGCTGGGCAACGACCTGATGCACATGCTGTCCACCGAGCACGACATGATGCTGCGGGTCACGCTCGAGTCGTTCGAGGGCGAGACCATCGACCTGGACTACGAGGCGTTCGTGGTCGGCTCCGAGAACGACCACTACCGGCTCCGCATCGGCTCGTACGTCGGGCCGCACCCGCGCGTCGGCAACTCGCTGCGCCGCCACAGCGAGCAGCTCTTCAGCACGCACGACCGCGACGCCGCCCGGCGCGTCAACAACTGCGCGCGCACGCACAAGACCGGCTGGTGGTTCCACAGCTGCTACAGCGTGCTGCTCACCGGCGAGTACGCGAGCGAACGCCTCGCGCCCACCACCAAGGGCATCCGCTGGCCCTCCTGGAAGACGGTGCCCCTCAAGGCGGTCGAGATGAAGATTCGTCCCAAGAACTTCATCCCGCGCTGAGCGACTCGAGCGCTTATACGGCAAGCTTGCTGTTTGCGTCGGTAAGAAAGTGACGCGAACGGTACATACCGTCATAAAGTTGTCGACGCGTGTGTTCCACAGAAGCGCAATTGGAAGACTGTCTCCATGAGATTGGCATTTAGTGCGCAGCGCACGTAACACGATATGGAAGTCTTCGCGGAGTCCAACGTGGCATCATAGTGGAGGATCAACTTTCCCATCAACTTTCGCTAAAAATGTAACAACTCATCTCTGTCAGTGAAACTTTATGTCAATGTATAAATACCACCACCTATGTACCATATTTATACTTTGGAATTTCACAAAAGGTTTTTATATCATGTATTCCAATCCCTTATGTGCAATTTTTTTATTATCCTGTACACCACCCTTATGTCTACCCTCTGGGGGTGTCTGTAAGGAATAACTAGATTGAATGAATGATAGATGAGTTATAAACAACTCGAGCAAGAAGAGCGTGGTCGTGCTAGGGTACGCGTGTCTAATTTAAGTCACGTATTCCCTTCGATGACTTGTTGTCTACTCAGTGTAGTTAGAAACCTTGCAATCTGCGCCAGTTTTCAAAGCATGTATCGGGTTGTCCCACTTTAGTAGTGTCTCGTTATTGAAAATACAGGATTATGCTTTTGTTTTTCCGCGGTTGAAGTAGTAGTACGCGACTTAGAACACTGGAAATGTCGCCAGACTGATCCAGAAACCTTCGAAAACAACAAAACCAACATACTCCAGAGCTCACCTTTATGTTTAAGCGCTGTTTTCGCGAACAGAAACTACTCAAAAGAACTGGTAGCGGCAGCTGTGCTTATACCATTGAAATAGCCGAAAAACTTTTTTCCGGATTATATGTAAAACATAATAAGTGTTATCTCTATATATTTCGTTGCCATGACAATTTTTTTATGATAATACATTTGCTTTTATATCAGTGTCCGTTGATGTGACGAAGGAAAACATCTCTGAGAAATTACCGCGTACCTTGATTACCTTTATTTGAATATACGGTCCTTAAAAATTCAAAGTTTCTATCGAATCTCTTTCTACGATTCAGTGTGTAAATAAGCGAGAAGAAATGCGAAATAAAGGAATGGTACAACTAGTCATCACGTTGTTGGTTTTTCGGCGTCTGCTATCTGCGGGCTTGCCAGGACGGTTACTTGAGTGCATGCGCATTTAAATAGCGTTCAAGCTTGCACTGAAGCAAAACCTGATTTCATAAAATTTGCTCGTTAACAGATTCTTTCGCATCTCTGACTCACTTTTCTGTAACTTAGGAAAGCGTTAAAAAAGTTGAAACAAAAAAGGAAGTCAAATACACGTCTCGCCAAAGTGTCACCAATCTGTCAAAGTGTGCACGGGGTCCGAAGTACGTTCGCCAAGTAGCGGGCAAAGCGAAATTCCGTTCGATAGTTAAAGAGAAGCGATGGTCGGCAGCCTGTAAAGAAGAGCATGGCTTCAGGCACCGAACAGTTAAAGATAATATTTTTCCTGAACCAGCAGCAATCAGGTGAATCGTTGTACGATCGATGTTTGCCTTCCCGTGTGACAAAAGGCTTCTTATCGGACTTGGTGACACCAATCAAGAGGTGCTCAGATGTAACAATTTTTAGTTATCTATGTCAGGCAAGCCCCACCTGCTGCAACATCGCCACCATCACCATTATGTTGCACGCGAGCACACATGAATTCAGACGCTGTTCACGACTGGCTATAGTTTATTGGACCACGAGCACCTGGTTACCTAAGTGTCATGTGATCACACTGCTTATACGGACCATATATTTGACTGCCCGCAGTAGTGTGTCACCTTGACGCCGAACTAGAGAATCGACCCCTCGTGAACTCTGGTATCAGTCCTCACAAGTTAGGCCACCGATTCAGCTCCCGAGCATGATTGTGGCATGATAACGCGAACGATGATGCTCAAATATGTATGACGAACAAATATGTGACTATAGATACCCCATCATGTCCATCAGAAAGCACGTGGTTCACTTAGAATGCTTAATACCCCCTTTTTTCTGTGTCTATGCACGTACTGAGTGTTATGAAGTAATGTGCATATGTACCAACGGTGCCGAAAGCCGGAGATGATGGACACATGATGCATTGAGGTTTTTCTTTTCCTAAAATTCCACACCTATAGGTCAACTTAGACGCAAGTATGCGTAAAATTTATTAGGTTACGTCTAGATTCGCTAAGTGCCACGTAGTCCGTCTGCTCATAAATGATCTCACTTGGCGTGAAAGGAAGAGGAGAGGTCGAATTGACAAGGTAGTCATGTCAACCGGAATGTCACCTGCTTGCTCTGTCATCATTCGCCTCTCACCTCGCAGCGTGTATGTTGTAACAAAGTGCATGGGCGAAGTATAGTGAAGCTCCTTGGCTGCCCGTTCTTTCGTTCCACCACCTCTCAGGAAAGAAAAGGGCAGAACAGAAATGTGATAATCAGAAGGTTGCTGCTCACTATTCAAGTAATGTATTCTCTTAATTTGTGTTACTTATGCAGATGACCACATGCACAGAATTAATCGCTACGTAAGCAAAGTTCCAGATCTAAAGGGAAATGAGGGCTCGCCCTATCGCTCACCTTCCATCGCGTGGCAGCGCGAGAATCACGGGCTAAATAAAGACAGGTGTTTACACAAAGCAAGCCTTCTTCATTTTTTTTTTTCGTACCGCTGAACTCGTGAATTTCGTGAATGCCGCAATTATCGCGCGCAGCATATGCCGCGTGATCACGATCGTCTCTTTATTAGCGTATAAAAAGTATGTGCACAGTCAAAAACGGCTAAGCTTATTGCGGCTTATAACCTGACATGAAAACCATCAGTGGATCTTTAGGAAAGAGTGGTAGAAAGAAAGATACGGTTTTAAGTGGTATGGTGCATGCTACTCTACTGTACGAGCTCCTGACCATCGTCAATGGTGAGCGTTTTCGTTTTCGTCGAGGGTTGCACTGACAGTTTTATATACGTTTTTTATTTGTTTATAAAGAAATTAATGTGAAAAAATCAGGCAAAGCTTCGACTAATCCGCGCGAGGCTTGAAACATCGAAACCGGACGATTCAGACGATTAGTATGGTTGCTTACAAGTTGTCTGTAGGCCTTATCTAAGTGCTGCAGGTTGTGTCTAGGTTGCTTCTAGGTCGTTTCTAGGCTTTAGCTAGGTAATGCCAGGTTTTTTGTGCGTTGATTCTCAGCGCAGTGATGTTCGAGTTAGAGCCACAGACAGTCACATGACACGAGACGGATTTTCAGACACCAGAGACGTAACCTTACGCTGAAACCAAGTGTTCGCTTCGCTTGTAGATCGACGGGCAGGACATCGTTGGCGTAAGCCTTCTATCGCTTTGGGGTGTTCTCGTAGCTGCCGTTCCTTTTCCGGTTTCTAGCTAGCATACACCTGTTGTACTTCAGTGGCGTAGCCAGGGGGTGGCAAACCGGCACCCGTGCCCCCCTCTCTGAAAATCTTTTTCGCCGTGGCACACAGAGTGAGAAATGACCATTTTAAAGGGTGCCCCCCCCACCCGAAATTAAGGAGGTGATCCCCCCCCCCCCCAAATAAAAAAATTCTGCCGACGGCCTTGTACGTAGTAGGGCTCCTCAGCTTGCCGCCATCGCTTCACAGCCATTTGTTGGGCTAATCTTCGTATTTAGTCGACCAGTGGTGCGATGGAACTTACCCAATTTCTCAGACATGCATACTCGTTTTTTATGAAAGTTTTCGTGTAAGCCGCCCGGCATATAACTGTAGGCCGCTCAACGCTGTTGAAACAATACATGCCTTTAAACTAAGGCGCAAGACTTTGGATAGACTACTGTTAAGAAAAAAAAACAACCTCCGTCAATGGTGAATATAAACGTTTTGGCACATCGCCAAGGCTTATACTTTTTCTTGAGAATATTCGCATATGTGCCTTGACTTTGCACTGCCTACAGTGAAGCCATGTTTTCACGACCGATTCCCGGTTATCGTGAGAGTATACCGTCAACTTGCAAGCCAGCGGCCACGCAATCAGCCCCTCTTTGGTGTCCTTAACATTCTCTGATGATGATGTTGATCTCCTTCCTCCTCCTTCTAGAGTCCATCACGCGTACCCAACTTCTAGCGGCTAGCACTTCAATCTCGTGAGATATACGACGACCATGGGAATATCTACACACTGGTGCTCCGACCACGCCTACCAGCTTAGCAATGGCTATTGTCTTAAAACGAAATAGACTTACTATATGAAATTCCGTATGGACGTAGTGAGAGCTATTGCGACGAACTGTAATGGTCTCTTTCCTACCATAACGAACTATGTCGCCGATCTGACAGCTCAAAACTAAGTCATGCATTCTGTTTCAAAGGTTCTTTGAAATCTTCTTCAAAGCCCTCAAATGTTCTTTACATCCAAATATAGTATAAGAGCATGGACATATCGGACACACGAGAAAAGAGCTACCTTGCTTTAGAGTAAAACCTACAGCATAATATTTCAGTGGCTTCAAAAGCACTGTAGCATTGCCGGTAACTACATCGAATATTCGCTGAAAAAGTTTCCAACGTGCTCATGTAAACATTCAGACGCTTTCAGTTAATTTGGCACGTAGTTGTCTGACTGACTGCATAAGTTTATTTGGTACTGAAAAGGCGATGAATCCCAAGGGGTCTCGTCTGCGTGCCGCGCCAACGACGGGACCGGGAGTTTAAACTCGATAACCAGTATAGATGAGTGCTACAAAAAAAAAAAAAACAGTTTCTCGCGCGATAGTGGAAGCTCTGATATGTGGCTGCTTCAACACCCATGGCTGCGACTTGCGTTTCTTTTTTTTACATTGGAATGACCCAGTAAACCAACATACAAGACTATTGTATCTGAATAGATTCTTGGCCATATTCAAACTTTTCCTTAATGGGACTTGCAAAGCCACTCTCAGCAAACCACCGCTACACGGCTAGACCCTATCGCAAATCTAGATGGGGACGAAAGTCCTTGAACGATGGCTTCATCTAGAGTGCAAAAAGCTATTCTGACAATATTGTTGCTTTTTAGGTGCATCAGTGACCACTTATGCAAACTCCTGCGTGCCCCAGGGATGCCTATTCACTCGTTTCGCTCCTTCTGCAACAAACCACGCACTTGTCCGGTTAACTTCTCTACATCTTCTCACTCGCTCTTCCCTCTCTCTCTGTCTCTCTGCACGTTTATCTAAGTCTTTTCGATAAAGCGTTTTAGTAAGTTACGCAGGTACGATATCACTCCTTATTTCCCGCTCCTTGTGAATAAGCTGTTCACAGTTCCAGAGACAGTGAGTCTACTGAACGACAGGTTCCTCGTTAACAATGTGTATAGGCTCCATGACAAGCAACAATAAGGCGTAACAACCCCAAAGTAAATTTAAAAAAAAACTTTCGTAGTGTTGGGTCACCTTCACTGGAAAATGCACGACGGCTGGTAAAAGAGGAGCCGTACTGTGACACCATGCCGTATTTGTGTACCGTATTTAACTAGACCCTATATTTAGTGTTAACAGTCACATTCACGGAGCGTAGCCAGCAATTCTTTACGGAGGGTGTCATGCCGCCTTTTGCGTACGTGTGTGCGTGCGTGTTTATATACTCATGCATTTAACAGAAATCTGGCTTGCTTTATATCCCCTCAAACTTCCATTTGACTTCTACTGCAGTTAGAAATCAGAACTCGACGGTGATTAGTACTATCACGCTATACTAAGCGGCTCTCTTTTGTTTGGTGTCGTAGCACAGTCAAATATAATCTGTCTCGGTTCGGCAAGCTTCACTGCAGTGTTCACCAGCATTCTCGACGCATACAGGCCGACATTGCAAAAAAACGACCCGCTCTTCATAGGAGACGGTGATCGCCTGGGCATCGTTGACCTACGCCGCGGGAGAGTGCACGGTCCTGAACGGAACGTACTTCAGGGGCAATTTCACAGTGAGGTACACTATACTCACGCTTCATGTTTTTCTGCATGCAAAGCGTAGAAGTAAAATGCGAACCAAACGCGAAGAGGAGTGTCCCAAACCATATACAACAGAAGGATCCACAGCTCCATGCGGTACATCATGTGAGCGTATCATGGTGTCATTGCGTAGACTACATAAGTAAGAAAGTTCCCCAGGTTCCAGTGATAGAGGGACAATGCAATTTCATTACATCAAAGTGTTTCGAAAGTACTCGTGATACTAGAAATAGCCACAAACGTGCCCACTTCGTCAAAGAAAAAACAATGATGGAGTTGTCTGGGGTTCACCTTCCACAAGAGCTCCTCTATATGGCGAAGATGCTTGCCATAGGATAAACGAGTCGGTATCTTCGTGTGAGGCACAGATGAGATTGAAAAGCCACGAAAGAAGATCCTGTTTTGCTGTCCTATACACTGGGCTATAAGTAAAGCTGCGTTTTTCTCCGGCGCTGATGTTGCAGGTGACGCATGTGTGGGAACCAGCGGAATTTGTCTTTCAGAAAGTGGGAGCATTTTGTGAATATAGCTTTTGATGCTTAATGTCGTAGGAATAATAGCATTTGCATTGACTTCATCTGTACAGATGCAACGAGTCGCACATGGACCTGTTCTTCCCCCTCATTGTGGTGAGACCTCGCATCGTCTATGACTTGAGACAAGCGATGCCCTTACTGCCGATTAGGGGTGAACTGCACATCACCATGGACCAAATCGATCTCGACATCGTTCTTGTGACCGCGAAGCAGAAGGACAGAGTCGCCCCCTGGTAGACCATCTAGAGATCCAAAGACTGTAGGGTTTTCGGACTGAGGTTCCACCACATGGGTCTGCTCGGTTGGATTCTCAATGCCAGTTGCCGAAACGGCTCACAGTGTCTACGGTCAGCCTATCGAAGACTTCTTCGAGACTCTTCTATGGAGGGCATTGCAGAGATACGCCGATAACAATCCACTTCCCTCTAGGAGTCACAGTAGATCATCTCTACAACTGTGGATTGTTAGTTCCCCGGCACTAAGGAGCAAACCAAAGCTTCCGGTTGCTAGCTCCAGCCACATCCACCCCCACATTGGCTCCACATTGTTCACTGTACCACTTTCTGTACGTGCATCGATTTAAAATGCTGAGACATGTTGCAATCTATTTGTGCCAGAACTAACCGTGTATGTGGTTCCAGTTTGTGATATACCGAATATTTTCGCAGCTTGTAGCATGACAGCGGGCTCTGTTGCTAATATGGGACGATCCCGATGAGAAAAAATACAATCTGAAACTTCTTTGTGTTTTTTTCACTACTGTAGATGTATTCAGTTGTATTTCTAAGAATTGTGGGAAAAGTTGATGCAGATTTGGTCAAAAACTGGCAAAAACTAGAAAAAAGAAAAGGAAAGAAACTATTAAGTAACTGCCTGAGCTCGAGCACTCCATGGCATTGCGTGTGAATATTACAAAGGAATAGTTAAGTCACATGTATTTTCACAGCGAACTTGACGTGGTGGGTATAAATGCGAGCATGTTAATAGTAACGATGTAGTCACGTGGTGAGAATGCTGTCGTTGTGCGCCCGCTTTGACTGTAGTAATCGGTTATATATAAAAGACCTAGCATACAACATTTCTGTTTATGCCTGTTTTTCAAGTCCCGTTATAACAGATTATAATTGACGGAAAGCCGGGCACTTATGGGTGAGCTGGAGTTTGGGGCAGGTCAGTGGCACCTACAGATCACAGAGCGAGAACCTTGACCCCACCTGCCTGCGCGGCCCCCTCTTCATATCAAAGTGGTGCACCCCCCTCTCCTTCATAAAAAAGTTTTCTGCCTACGTCCCTGGGATCGTTTATAATGGTGCAATCATCGAATTCACTACGCCATCAAGCATTAACCTAGAAATCGAACAGCCCTCGGCAGTAACGCCGGTACCAAACAATTCCATCTGGTTCGTACAGACAGTACCGACTCGCTAAGCACATAGCCCGACTGCACCAGTAGCATCACTAGTCTGGTGTCCAGGGAAGGCGCGTGTTCGAGATCTCTCAGAAAGGTAGCGGTGCAGTCTCGAGGAACTGCTGCATGACGCGCATCATGAGAACCCTGAAGAACTCCATGAGTGGCATTGGCACCAGCTGGTACACCAGGGCCAAGCCGGTGGTCAGCGCCGACGACACGGGCCCCATTCCAGTGATCTCCATCTGCAACAGTGGTGCACGTAACATGCTTGACAGATCCCTGCGACATTTTTTTTTTCAAGTAACCATCGAATGGCTTCTCTATCACAGTTTGTTGCCTCACAAATAAACCACCGCAATAATTTATGGAATACGTCATGTACGAGCGCAGTAGAGAGATTTGTCGCACTCTTGACGTGCTTTCTGTGTATACATTCGTTCCCCGGCGAGCGCGCTGAGAGCTACACATGTTGGGGAAAGGGGGGATGGGGTGTCATGACAAAGGTACAAGAAGCGTTACGTTCATGCGGCAGTGCATGGCATAACCCTGAACATTTTGTTTTTTTTTGTTTTCTTAGAAATGTCGGCTCACTTTCAGCGTAATCACGAGTACGCTGGTGTAATTACATACGTGTGCATAATTACAGACTTTTTTCAAAAACGCCCCCCTGGGCACCGCGCCATAGTCCTCTTTAGGCTGCGCAAATTGGCGTGACCCCTCAAAAATGCACTGACAAGGCTGCGCCCTTCGCCTTCGTACTCCCGCGCGCAGCCCATCGTGGCGGTGTTTTTTTCTCTCCTGTGAAAAGATGTATAGCGCTACAGAGTACATGGATGGATGGATGGATGGATGGATGGATGGATGGATTGATATGATTGTGTACCCTTTAGATCGGGCGGTGGCTAACGCCACCAAGCCGTAATACTTAGTGAACCAAAAACTAGACTTATTTTTTTCCTTTAAATAGTGAGTTAGAGGACTCGTACTTTGCAGTGAAGGGTTTAATTTTCAGCGAAGGGCACACCACGCCACCTCAAGGCGACTGCGATAACTACAGTTCACGATGCTCAAATAAGCCGATCTCTCTAAGCTTAACTGATGCCATAGGCCACACTGCGCGTATGACATCGTTTAATGGTCGTGGGATGAGCGAGCCATTTCTAGCTGACTTCGAAACTTACTTTTTTAAAATTCCACTGACGCTGTGATGCGCTGCAATGTTTGGCTCATATGTTTGCAGGAGCCTCGGCTTGTGATCGGCCGCATTTTCTAGCCACGTTAAAAAATGTTTTACAATCCTTTTAGAAGGCCTAAATACTGGTGCATCGAGGTGCGCGACGTGCGAAACACGACCAAAAAGGCTACAACGAGGATCGTGCGGGAATGGGTGTTCCAGTCGGCAGACGCCCCTTTATGGTTTACGTTTGGAATCCGGGCTTCGAGCTTGATAGCACAGGGGGCCGTACGACGATGTGTGTTGTCACATCAGAACGGAGAGGCCGCGCGGCCTTGAAGATGAGGAATCTGTTGACGGCGGACGCATGAATGCAGCCTGCAAATCTTCCCGGCAATCGCTCCGCCCCAGCGTCGCCTTCGACGGGCTTCCTTCGGTGGAAGGTAAAAACCCTACAGGCAAGTTGCTGTGACCATAATCATTTGAAAGCGTTCATATAGCGCGGGACAGGCGGAATAAATGACGCGAACGACGAGTCTAGACAGGACGAAATATGACGACTTATGAACCATCCTGTGCGTGATGCAAGGTTTGGGACTTTTCGGCACTTTTATTTCTTTGCTAAGTGTCGTTACTTTCTGTCAACACAGATATTTATTCTGGTAATAGGGCTCTGACCGAAATATCCACTTGTCATTCAAGGAAATTTAAATTCCCTATGATTGCCTATGATTGTACACTCTTAGAAAAAAGTTAGTAATCAGTTAGTAAACGCGTGTGTTTACTAGTTTCCGGAGCATTTACTACCTTCGCGGCGTAATAGCTACCAGCTAGTACAGCTAGTAATTTTAGCCGTTACTAACCAGGGAACCTTTCTTAGTGTTTTTAACTAAGCAACTACTAAGCCACCTACGTTGCCAGATCAGTCATAGATGCTGCAGTACATTTTGCCGTAATAGCGACATCGTAAGCAAAATTCAGGCAAGCTCTGATTTTATCGACTACCTTGGAATAGAGGTATCGTGCTACGTAATGGCACGCACATAAGTAAGTAAAAGGGGACATGATTACGCATAGAAAACAACAATTATCTTATAAATTCTGCGGCTACCGACCAGTACACGGTGTGCGGTCCCAAAGCAGGGGTATGTATAGTCTTCAAACTGCTGCTTCAGTATAATCACAGAACACTTGTAGAATTCTGCTATCATGCTCCAGCAATGGACGTAAGTTTTTAGCGGGACGGCTCAGTGCTCTCCCATAGTTGAGTACGAAGTACTCGAAGTTGTTGAACATTTTTCTAAACACGTCCAAATCTTGAAGATTTATTTGTGCATGCATTTGCATGCGTGTTCTCGTGATCCGCTCATATGAGTTCTCCTACTCATATGATCATATAATCATGTGAGTATAAGAATCATATGCTCATACGGACTCGCGTGAGCATATCATATGCTCATGTGAGTCTATATGAGCATATGAGATTCACATATGATCATACATATGTGAATGTGATTTGATCATATGATTTCGTTGTCAATTCTCTATAAGTATGTTTCTATGCTGCGCACTTACCCCAGTATAGTTACATGGCGTAATTAAGAACCATCAATAATTTATGGTGGTCATGTCAATTCGTATTTATATCCTATACCTTTGTAATAGAATAATATTATTATGGCCACGCACACGAACATTTAACAAAATAGGCGTAAACCTCTATTTGCGGGGGTTACTAACAATTTAGTAATGAACTAACCAATCGAGTCAGCACTATTCGCTTACTAACTTGGTAGTTATTTTAACTACCCAACGACGTAGGGCTTTTACCCAGCCTGTTAGTATTTGGGCTAGTGTTGGTTACGAGCCCGACGAGGTAGTGCCTTTCAATAGGGTTACTTTTACTAGCTGCATTTACTAGCTGGTTAGTGGATTCTGTGACAAGTTTCGGGTCAGTACTTAGTGAATATACCAACCTTTTTTCTAAGAGTGTACCCTCATTAAAGTAGGTTTATAAATGAAGGTCTTATTACACAAATATTGTGGTTCGTAGCCATTCTCTCGAATTCTAAAATGTCATTCTCGCATAGTATGCCAATATGTGTTTAATCAAAAGATCTGCGTTCACGCGTTGTCCACAGCTAATCTCTGTGAATCATTCGGCAATTAGGACAGCTTTTTTTATGACGTGCCTTGCGAATAGCGTACCTTGAAACCTTGCGTCGACCAGAAGTTCACGTCACCGATGTATGGTTTGAGGTCCCCACTGCGATCCTTTGGTAACCGGAGAACCACGTTGGCCCCGAAGAGCTCGAAGCGTGCCTTAAGCTCTCCAGATAGAAGGCCTCCTGGCAGTTCGTAGTCGAACACGACGTCCGGGTTGCGCATACCCACGGGAAACGTGATCGAGATCCATTCCGGATCCGTGGTGCAGTCCACTTCAATTTCGCCGTTGAAGAACGCCGTGTGCACCTGCGTACTCGTTAATGTTAACAACATCCCATGAAATCTCAACGTAGTTCTTCATGGCGTTACAGCTCTTCTTGATGGTTACGTACAGAGAGCAACGCCAGCACATACACAAACGAGTGGTCGAAATAAGTTTATTGTCTATTCGTCTATTGACAGAAGTCGCACAACAGATGACATCTCATCGAGCAGGAATGACTAAAGGAGACCAACGTTAACGACGGTAAGCGCGACGTGCCCGACGGTGCACGTCCTTGCCAGTTGTGTCATTCATGTCTCCTCCTACACAATCATAGCCGAAGAAAATAAACCTCAGCACGTGCAGTCGCTCTGGTCATGGGCCTCTCGACCAGAATGACAATTCGCCAGCATCGTTTTGCGAGCTACTTAGTCGCAACGGAGGCATTGCAAAACTTTCCAAGAATCGCAGACCATAGCACGATTGGCTTAACGCGGCATCACAAGGGTGGCGGTGCGTGGACGTTTTTTTTTTTATTTCACTTCCAGAGAAGATGAAGGGCAGACTCTGCGCCACCCGGCTAGTCTCCCTCAGGGACCACCGAGCTTGATGTTCAGACTGTCATTGTCTCTACACTCCGGACGACCAAACCCCGGCCATCCAGAGTGCATACACTGGACAGTGAGGCCACATACATAAAGCGTCCTAAAATAAACAAGAAAGGACTCTGGCGCTGCGATAGTTCATTGAACATGGAAATACTGGGTAGTACACGGGCTTGCCTAGTCTTCGTACTTGCGGGAGGCGAATCACACTTGAGGTTTGGTTTTGTTTCGAAGAAAAGAACAGACCTTTTTGAACTTCGTGACCCAATTTGAAATGGTAAGCCTAAAATATGAAGGGGGTGAAGTGCAACTGCTGAACACTGGCCGATTGTTGTTTCGTGACAAAGTAGCTTCAAGCCACGCGAAGCTAAAATGAACGTAAAATACGAAGACTAGGTAATTACGTGTACTACCCATAATTTCCATGGTAGCTGAAGTGCCATGCGTTGCAGCTACCATAGACAATAGCGCCAGAGTTCACTCTAGTGTGTACTTAAGAAACTCTATGGCCGCATACGGCACAAGACTGACGTACCATGACGATGTGTGTGCTCCACCTCTTCTCCTCTCTTTATTAAACCTTTGCCTATTCCTTTCTCTTGCGCTAGGTAGCATGCAGTTTTTTTAGGGGCGAAGCTCCTTAGGGCGTGGGCGGTGCGTCCCCTGTAGCCTGTATGTAGCCACCTCTAGTTTAGTTCTTGCAGTGTTCACTAGATGGCGGTACCCTCCCCTGTATGTAGCCACCTCTAGTTTAGTTCTTGCAGTGTTCACTAGATGGCGGTACCGTCTCCTGTATGTAGCCACCTCTCGTTTAGTTCTTGTAGTGTTTACTAGATGGTGGTACTTGTAGCTGATGATGAAAAGATGCAAGATGTTATAAACTAGAAAGCGGTACTTGTAATTGATGAAAGACGCGAGATCTTATAAAATAGGAATGATGTCACATATGGCGCGTGTCATTGGTTGAAGGCAATCGTTCGATTTAGTGCGGCGACGTACGCTAGGGGGAGCGATGTAATAAAATCGAGTGGGCAAAATGTACAGAGGATTCATGGTTTACCAGGTTTACCTCCGGAGCTTCGCCCACTCATCATCATTCACTTCGTGGATATGGCGGAATTTTTTTAATCTGGTTTACACCCCAGCCTTTCCCCTCTTTCCACTTTTTCTTCCTTGTCGCGCTAGTTCGGCGGTTCACTGAACAGCATGGGTCTTATGATTTTGATATTGATTTGTACTCAAGTCTACAGAGTTACTCCAAGGAAAAGGAGGACAAAATGCCCTAACGCCTCGCAGGATCCTCCTACCTGACGCAGTGTTCTCACAGGAAGTAATTTCAGAAATCTTTTCGTTCGTCAAAACAGTTTTTTATTGGTTTGACACATTCGATAAATAAGATTTCCAAAAACAAAGCACCAAAAGCTATAACAGTGCTGCTTACAGTTATATAGTTAGAACGACGCGATCATGGTCGAAGAATTCTTTTACTGCAAACGCGACATCATTAGATTAGATTTGTGGGGTTTAACGTCCCAAAACCACCATATGATTATGAGAGACGCCGTAGTGGAGGGCTCCGGAAATTTTTACCACCTGGGGTTCTTTAACGTGCACCCAAATCTGAGTACACGGGCCTACAACATTTCTGCCTCCACCGGAAATGCAGCCACCGCAGCCGGGATTCGATCCCGCGACCTGCGGGTGAGCAGCCGAGTTCCTTAGCCACTAGAACACCACGGCGGGGCCCCCTCTAGTTATCTATCATCTGCATTTTAATTCTACACCTACATCTTGAAGAACTTTTGAAGTTCCAAGTTGATTGAGTATGTGTGCGGCTTACTTATGTAACGCAATAACGACAGTTTTATACTGCACAAACAGTAAAGTGAGACGTCAGGAATCACAACGTGCGCTTACAATGTTTACTCGTCTCGGTAGTCTGTCTGCGTGGCTTGGTGTTGTTAAGCCTTATCGTGTCGATGATGACTCCTGATGAGACCATAAGGGTAAAAGCCCGGAGCGCAGGCAATTTTTTTCGGGGGGGGGGGGGGGGGGGGGCTAGCATTTATGTATATTCGTGCGTCTGTATGTGTGCATGTATACTTAAGTATACAAATTTGATAAAAATTCAGGGTGGGTTAATTCTCCTCCTCCCCAACACTCCCATGCATATGCCAATGGTATAAAATGGACTGCAACCTGTTTAATACATGTTATTTAATTTCACAAACAAGCTTCTTTGTACTGAAAGAATACGGATGTTTTAGTTATGTTCAGTATGCGAAAGTCATACTGTTCATCTATTGTGTAAAAGTTGGATGTTTTCAATGCGTTCTGTATGCTAAGCAAACACGTTCCTAATTGTTTGTATAACTTCGTCTCCTGCCTGTATATTTATGCATAATTTTACAGTTGCGTGAATCTATACGAGCACTCTGCTAAATATCCAGATGTTTCTAACGTGTTCTTGCTTGATCGTATATCATATATTAGGGTTCAATTAAACTTAATTGAAAAATAGTTGAAAAAAATGCCGTCAAGCCCTTTCGCACCGAATGCGCAAGCGCTATGCACGAAATAGTTCTCAAAGAAAGAACATCAAGGCAACTTTAGAAGAAACACAGTGTACAGAAGAAGACGGGGGCAAGGAAAGGAGGCGCACACACGCAGGACTGACTTGCAACCCTTTATCGCTGCGTGTGCAGCGCATTTATCTCTGTATGGGCGTCACCATTCCCTGTCTTTTACTGCGCTGCGTTCCTTCCGGTGTTTCAACAACGCACGCAAGCTTCTATACCAGGACACCACGCGCCAACTGGCGCTGCTCACGTTCACTCCCCTGCCGTTCTTGAGGATGATGACGCCCAGGTTCTGCGTGCCTCCGATGTTGATGGGCTCGTTTTCCTTGATGCGCTGGCGGTTCCTCTCGAGCAGCGTGCTAACCAGCGTGGTGACCACTGCGTTGCCAAGGCACAGCAACTTGGTCTGACGAAGTTGTCTGGAGAGATGGACGCCGCCTTCCCCGAAACAACGCTGCCGTGTCTGGACCAGCCGCGCAACGCTAGAAGCGACCGCATTCGAGCCAGCATCCTGCCGGGCTCCATTGGCACTGAGGCGTTGGCAAACAGGTGCACCGTGGATGGCGGTCGCCTCACCGATTGTGAACAGCGCCAGCAGAAGAAGTCTGACGCTCATGATGCACCCCTTCTTTCTGTTGGGTGCATAATATGACACAAGCAGTTAAGCGTCTTATTGTGCTGCGACGTTGATAAGAGAGAGAGAGAGGAGAGCATAGAAGGACAGAATGTTGGGCGAAGTGGTAAATCATGATGGAAAAATAGCATGAAGAAAACACGGGACAAAACGAAGGAAACTACAGGACACGCGCAAGCCCTGCAATTTTTTTTTGTCTTGTCTCACGTTGTTTTTTCGCGCTATTTTTTTCCTCAGTGGGGAAAAAAAGCGATGGGAAGGCAGGGGCGTTCACCAGCTTTTACCTTGTTTGCTACCCTACACAATGAGGAGAGGCAAGGGCATGAACAGAATAGAGAAAAGAACAAAGAAAAAGAGGACAGCTACAGTAAAAGCTCGTTGATTTGGATTTCACGCCACAATAAAAAAAAATGTCTGACGTAACCGAATGCTGAATTATCGAAAAGACTTGAAAAACCACAAAAAATGGCCTGTTTCATCAATACATATTCATTTTATTTATTCTACGTAAATCCTGTACTTACTTTGTTTAGGAGCAGGGTAAAAGCCGCAATTTATACATCCTCTGACTTAGTTTTCAGTGCAACAACTACGCCAGACTCCCGTTTATACTTCGCCAATGCCGATAGTGTGAGTGTGTGTGTGTGTGGGGGGGGGGGGGGGTTGCCGTCTCTTTCCCTCATTATGTGGGCATGGATGTCTAGGTCACGAAACAAACTATCTTCTGGTACATACCATGCTAAGGGAGCCTTGGGAGGCTGTTCTCGCTCGAGCCAACTTGGATACCCAGAAGCTGGAAGAACGGTTTGAAGCGAAACTTGGCGTAGCCTTTACTCGAGTAAACGTTTGTTTGAAACGCACGCATGGGAGGTGGGTTGGGCTTTGTGTAAGTTTCATCATTGTAACTTACACCATGGTTTCATTGCAGATACACGAGCCGAAAGAGTGTTCCCACTAGACGCGTGGTAGAGCGTTGCGGGTGGTGGAGAGGGTGAAGTGAGAGAAAAGTGTGTTACTAGCGCAACTGTGGGCGCTGCGGCGAGTGTGCAGCGTGTGAGGGAGAGAGTGACGTCAGCATGCACTGACGAGGGAAGCGTGCGAGAGAAGCGCGACGTCAACGCGCGGCTGAGGTGTGACCTACTTGGCACCACTCCAACGCCTGCGGGGAAGGGAACGCGTTGCGGCGCGCTCATATTGACACACGTACGGCGTTACACACGTGAGTCAAATTGCTGCTTCGCATCTAAAAGCAGGTTAAAGGCGAAGAAGACAGAACGGGAAAGTGGAGATAAAAGAGAGAGAGACGAGAAAGGCATGTAGGTCAAAACAGACGCACCTCAGAGGTGCTACCCCACACGGAAGGAAAAAAATAAGGTGACAGAGAGAGTGAGTAGAGGAGAGATAACACCAATCAAACAGTGTAAGTATGCACTGATGAAATACATGCAAACGCAACTGACAATGTCAGGAATGCACACATACTGCTCAAAACAGTAAAAATGACCGAAAATATTACAGTGGGCTACATACAGTTGGTACAGCATAACCTGTTGTATGGCGATGTTGTCGCATATAGGGAGTATACATAAGGACACTACACTGCCAACAAGTGATCTCAGCATAGCTGTGTCTTCATCTACTCTGTCGTCCCACGTACGTGTTTTCACTACACCTTTGACAACAGCCATTATAAAACATCATCACTTTACCAAGGGGTGACGCCAGGATGTTTTTTTTTTTTTTTGCCGAGTGTGTGTGCGGGGGGGGGGGGGAATCCACGACAAGTGAGTGCCTTCAGAGGGGCAAGGAGGCTGGTAACTTATGCGTTGTGTTTTGTCGATGCTAACTCTTGGGGGTGGGGGCAGGCGAAAATTCTTTGGGGAAGGGGAGGGGGCAGCTTCAACCTTTTTATACCCCTGTTGGCGCCGCCCCTGATCTATAACCCTATAAAAGCACGCCACGCAAGTCCGGCTTTTTTCCGACGACATGCATGGCAGTATAACATTGCAGGGTGCTCACATCTTGACCGTGATTCAGAATGAGGGCTTTGTGAAAGTATCGTATTTTCCAGGTGGTTGCCTACGCTTCGGTCATAGGACAGTCTTTCAAAGGGAAATGTGGCTGCACTAAGATGGCGAGCTCTCACATTTGTGATAAAAAGGCACAGTATCAGCTGATATTTTTTCTTTTGTTTTTAATAATGCACAAGCCTTAATTGGCTTGATGTTGCAAAGAATCTCGGAAAGGTTGTTGGTGAACGAGCACTCTCAACAGCTCGATAATATTTGACGGAAGTGCAAAATGTCGATCTTGAAGTTCAGGCGAAGCCTGCGTAGCTGTGCTTAGATTCAGCATTTCCGGCTGCCGTCATCTCTATGCTTACACGCCTGAAATTTTTCTCACAAAACTTCTTGTTGAACAAGGTATACAGGAAAATCTCCATGTAAGGAAGGCACCGATAACTCGCAAAATCTCGCTAGCACTCAGAGAACTGCAAAGTGCAAACCTACTTACTTGGGCGCCGTCGTATCAAAGTTCTTACAAAGGGTGTCATCTCTGAGAAGGCCTAGTACAGAGGCAAAATATGTTAGCACTTATTAGAATATTTTCATATTACCATATGATCAGGTAAACCGCGCATCACGTGTGTCCGTACAGTCAAGCGACTGCATTAAAAAAGCCAAACGAATAATACAAAAGAGAAAGTGGTAATAAACGAGGCTTTTCGAGCCACCGTGAAACAAGCTATAGGAGGCAAATCAACGGAACCGAGCAGTCGATTGACCTAAAGAGCTCTGGTATTAGTGTACTCAGGTGCAGCTGCATATTTGAAATCGGAAGAATACTGAATATAAACTAAGTGCGTGGCCTTGCTTGTGGCCAGCCAAATGGCTTGCCCGGGCCCCAAATTATCTCACCTGAACAAACGCCATGAACTGTATACGACATGCATGGGTAGAAGAAATTTTATAATATATTTTCTAAGGTATGTCTTGGTCGTGCACTTCTGATGGCTGTATTGTCAAAGTAAAACGATCACGACTGCGCTAGATTTGATTATTGACGCGGCATCATCACGCATAATCATTTTACAATTCTGAGCTCATAATCTGTTTCAGCAGATGGCTATACGATTGTGATATTGCAGTCCTTACGAAAAAAAAAAGGAACAAATAACCACGAACGATTCTAGAAGTGAAAATTACCCTGAGCTGCGAACTGAACTGGTTGCCTGCATGTGCTTTGTTTCTATACTATCTTCATAGCTCTTCCAATAATAATTAATATTTACGTCTGGAGTTTTGCGTTCCAAAACCACGATATTATCATGAGAGTCGCCGTATATAGTGGCGGGCTCTGGAAGTTTGGCCACCGGGGGTTCTTTAACGTCCACTTAAGTTTTAAGTGCATGGGCATCAACCGTTTAGTTTAGTTTTTTTCTCGCAGAGTAACCATAGACGTGTGCACGGGCAGGTGGGATGGGCTTTGGCTGCCCCCCCCCCTCCCCCCTAGACACGTAAGAGGGTGGCGGCGAAATGTCTTCTCAATACACTGACTTCTTAGTAACGGCCTGGTGTGCCGTGATGAATTTTCGCCTGCCAAGACAATTGCTATGTATCGGACAAACATAATCTTACATTTGCCGAGTTGTACCGACTCGCCCAACTTACCATTTTTCTGCCGATTGAGAGGCGACTCTGTCCCATCCTGAGCCAGCGGAGCAGCAGGCCCTGGTCGACCGAGCTCGGATGGTAGCTAGAGCTAATGGTATACCGGACTGAGAGGTACAGTTAATATTTACGCAACTTGTCAGTATTCAATGTTTTATGCTCTCTCTCTCTCTCTCACACACACACACACACACACTACAGAAAAGAAAAAAAAAAGCTTTGAGAAAAAAAATTCGTCTTTTACGACCTGCTTTTATGTGTGCTTGCGAGAAATAATGTTTTTGTTTAGCGTCTATTTTCCCACATGCACCCCACGACTATGTTGAGCACATCTTACAAGTAAACGTAGATATGTGGTGTTCAACAGTTCAACAGAAATGAATAAAAGGGCGTGTGCAGAGTTGGGGGGATGGGGATGCAAAATTCAGCGCAGCCCCCGCCCTTTGAACCCCTTCATCTCACCACTTCCATTGGTCGAGTCCTAAAAAAAATAGGGTTCGCAATGAATGCAAAAATGAAAATGAAAAGATCACGTGCTGCTCGCAATGCCCTGCCTTCAGTTCCCGGTATTCCGAAGATAAAGGTTCGTTGTAAACGCTTCTTAGGAAGCAACAGATGCGTTCCTCAGCCGTCATTGTCGTCATAAACTTGCGTAGCCATAAAATTGCACTCTATAAAGAATGACAGAAGAGGCCCCGACGGAGTAAACATAAGAGGCCGAACTTACGAGGAGGAGGGTGGTCATTCCAACGCCGTCCCCACAAGGTTCTCACGCCGTCCCGATGACATCCCCGCATTATCCTTCCTTTCTCCCTACTGTGTACCCTCCTATGCAAAATTAAGCTATGCAAAATTAAGTTATCAGCAAACCTACTTCACAGAGCTCACCCTACGTGCAGCGTACGCAAAGGTATTCGTTTCAGAGTTCAAATTACAGGATATATATGCATGTATATGAAAGGGCCAGCACATCTTTACTTTGTTAACTGCACGAAATTGCTTACTGTTGCCGCGAAGCCATGTACAACGCCTCCAGGGTTCAGTGAGGCTGCTTCCTCCAGCCCCCAAGGACGTTTTTGACGTATATCAGAAGAATAAATAGAAAAAAAGAAAAACCGAGTTTTGCGTTTAAGCACCAGGTACTCCGGGTCTCGTCTTCGTCAGTCGACGTAGTCATGGACTAGAATTTTTGAGCAAGTACTGCATTCACGGTCTAAGCCAGGGCTGTGCCGCGCGCCAACGCTGCTACACTTCCAGTTTACGAGTCAGAGTTCTCTAGCCTTACAATCCGCGCTTCGTCGAGTATCAAAAACGTCTCCGATTCAGTCGAGGCGTCTTTTGAGTGCTTGTCTCGTACAAACTCGATGCCCGTTTTAGTTCCATTCAGAGGACACCATAAAAAAAGATGCACGCTTAGGGCGAACAAAGTTGCGCTAAACGGCCTTAATTTTCATGGTCTACCGTATAGAATGAACCCATTGTCCCAGCAACGCCTACTTTTGCATTCAGTTTCATTCAGCGTGTATTGGAGATCACAACAGTGCTCGTTTGGCTAAACCACGGGCAGCCCAATTTAGCACTACCATACGCGATAAACAGACTTATTGCACACACACAGACACAAAACTTTCTCTCGTTGGAGCTTCCTTCCTTCGTTTGGGCTTGTTCTTCACACATGCTTATACTAGTTATACTTACCCAAAAGTTCTGGTTAACAAGACTCATTGCTAGCAGTTGTGAAAGGACAGAAATCGGAGTGACTGTAACTTTCCATGTCATACAACAAGGCTGAAATGAATTTACAAACCATCCATCTCATTACTCGATGAAGTGTCATTTTTGGTTGGCCGTTTGGCCAGAGTATAGATACTAACAGAATACTGTGAGAACGAACATGAGCAAGATTTCTATATTTTAGATGAATGATGATGATGATGATGACGACGACGACGACGACGACGACGATGATGATGATGATGAAGAAGAAGATGCAGGTTGATGGCAGATCTACCTTGGTGAAATAGCTTCGCCTGGTTTCCTCCTTTCCAACTATGTTGAATTAATGTCTATTTTAAAGCGAAGGAAAGGCGGGCTACCAAGAAGTTGCGCCCACACGATGCAATAATGCACAAGCCGGTGGCCTATGATGATGGTATAAAGCACACGCATGTCATCATAGTGGAGCTGTGTATATATACACCTTTGTTCGGCAACGAATAAGATCAGTTTGTAGTTGTAGCCATAGGTCGGAGAAAAATTGTGGAGCTCACCCAGACTCACTCATGAAGTACATTTGACGCTTAGGGCTCACTCAAAAAAATATTCTTCATCCAGACTCACTCTGACTCAGACTCACGGCTCGACCTTAGCTTGAGTTAGTTCGAGTGAGTCGATTCGCGAGTTCGTTAGTCTCAAATTGGCTTCTTCGACCACAGTTTAAACAACAATATTTCACGTAATTTGTGCCCTTCTTCGCGCCGTCTCACATAGTATCTTCGAATAAGTGTTGAGAGTGCTTGAAAATCAGTAAGGACATTTTTCATCGAAGATATGATAACATAATTAAGGTGTATTTATTGAGAACTTTCCTGGAAGATTCGGAGAGGTTGGGGTGAGATCGAGGCACCCCCTACGTAATTCGCGCCTCTGATCAATAAATATTGAAATGGTGTATGAACGACACTGCTTTGGAATACCTGTGAGGGGACGTGAGTATAAACGTGAATTTAGGTAAGGCTGATAGTAATGCTGAGGAGGAGTAGACAGAACCTTAGGTCAGCTAAAGTAAGTGGAAGACACTGCGAATCACTCACGAAATATTGCGAATGAGTTCTGCGGAAACCCGCAAGGTGGCGGAAGGGTTAAGAAAGGGAAAGAAGAGAACTACCCAAACGGGTGGTTTTTTTTTTCCTTTCTAGACTCAAGAAATACCTGTTGCGCTTTAGACTCATTCTGATTCAGACTCAGCAACATTTTTCTGAGTTGCACTCACTCGTACTCACACTCACGAAATATTTCCATCGGCCAAACTCACTCGGACTCGGAATCGCCAAATATTACTCACCCAGATTTATTCAAACTGACACACACGGCTCGATCTGAATCTGGGTGAGTCCAAGTGCGCAGACTAATGAGTTCGCCGAACTGTGGTTGTAACCCTTCCTGTCTACAGTGTATTTTCTCTTTGCCTGCTTCACGCATAACTTTAGGCATAATCATCGTGCTAGTCAGCATTTAGACTCAGAGCCAGCAACCGAGGCGTGGGATGTGGAGACGATTTAGAAATGTTACTAATATCTTACTAGAGGGAGTGGCCTCACTGTGCAAAGCGTTTAATGGAGTGAGGCAGATGCAGACGTATACTATAGTAATGCGAGTATATTTTATTACGTTGTCATAGGAGCGCAAAGCCAGCAACCACCCATATTAGTCGGCACTGATTTGGATGTAAGTGTTGTGGGACGCGCCAAAATTATACCTTTTCATAATTGTGTAACGTTCAAGTGAATATTTGATTTTGGTATAGTAGTACATGATAGTTTGTATCTACCACTTTGCATTAATGAAGATTTCACTTCTGCCCAATTCTGGCTGAAACATTTCGTTTTAGTGATGATTCGCAAACTGCTCTTGAAACTCAAATGTACTTTGTGGGAGAGCGCGCACGTCCGTTTTCATTTTCTTAACGGTGACGCGATCCCAGTCTCGCCACGGGGACAAACCGGTCACTTCGAAAGAGAAGCGTAGCCCTTTTTTTTTTATTCAACCCCACAGCATATACTCCATCGAGAATTCCAAGGACTTCGCCCGCTGCCAGCTTGCGCTACTCTCGAGGGAAAGGTACTCTTCCCTGGCGAGGGAAACAACTCTCTCCAGAAGAAAGGAAAAGCAGGGGACCGGTCAGGGAGAAGGTCTCTCTTATCAGCCCGAGTTCTTGAGAGGAGGACTATCTCTCTACGCGACATTTACACGCTCTTGGCGACGTAGCAATAAAGTGTGTTTTGTTGATGTAGCCTGTTCCGTTATTAGCCCGAACCCGTCGTAGTTGCGATTAATCTAGCTACAGGAAGGAGACGTTAAAGTTGCATGGTACGACTTTGTACAGCTGTAACCGGAGCTAGGTTGCAGCACCAGTGGTGCATTGACAAGTACTCGCATTTGAAAGGCTTGATTTTAAAAGCTATACACTTCGCTTAACTGAGCCCGCCCGAAAAAAAACACGATAGTCCCATGGACCGTCATATACCCTCGTCCTTGCTGCCTTCCTGTCGTGGTCATCAGCGTATAGGCTATAGCATTATACGCTACAAGTTCGGACATTTCAGCCCGTGTAAAAGCTAGCAACAATTTCTTAGCAGATAAATCATCTCACTCCCTGATGGTTTCTAGCGCCCCGCCGCGGTGGTCTAGTGGCTAAGGTACTCGGCTGCTGACCCGCAGGTCGCGGGATTAAATCCCGGCTGCGGCGGCTGCATTTCCGATGGAGGCGGAAATGTTGTAGGCCCGTGTGCTCAGATTTGGGTGCACGTTAAAGAACCCCAGGTGGTCGAAATTTCCGGAGCCCTCCACAACGGCTCCTCATAATCATATGGTGGTTTTGGGACGTTAAACCCCACATATCAATCAATCAATCGATGGTATCTAGCGCAAGTTTATTATTTTTATTTTTATTTTCCATAATTGTTTTCTTTATTGTATATGAACGGTTCCAATACATTGATTAAGGCCTGTTGGCGCTAATTCACTTTTGATTTCGCTATTTCGTAAAATTTTTATGCGCAATTACAACGATTTGTTTAGGAAATATTAATTCAGCTTGGTGGTACATCACGTTGTATTTTGATTGCATGACGTTCGTAAACAGTATCTTAAATACTTGCAAACCATTTTGCATTCCACTCTGCCGTCCATCGGAATGGGGTTACCGTGACTGCGAATTGGAACTGCAACGATGATGTTCAGTAGCCCGATGGGCCATATCCAATGAACAACTGCGCTGGGTTCATGTAAAAAAAAATTCAGCAGATCTCACGCATTCTGTAAAGTGGTTTCATGCGGAACAGTCAGCTAATAGCTCTCTATGCTGCAATTTTCGGCATTCAGTCAAGTGTCACAAAGTGTATCAACGTGTTTCTGTATTTTGAGCAGTTGTGTGGATAACAGGCCCGTAGACTACTTTGGCGCTTAAAAAATAGCTCATAGTCTGACGATCGTACATCAGTCCATTACAGACGGTTCTACACTGGCACCACAAACTGCTTCCCGTAGTCGCACGTGTTAGGCTCGTGTCGACGGTACAGGATGTTCACGTAGGGTACGGTCTCAAGCGCCATCTTGTGGCCGATGCCGTGCCCTTCCCCGGCTCCTGCCAGCAGTAGACCCGTGAGACCCTTCTTGTGAAATGGCCCGTACGCCTCGAGCAAGCGGTACACGATGCACTCGGCGATGGCCTCTTCGTTCGCGTACACAATCCTCAGTAGGGCACGGCCGCTAATGTCCGTGCTGACCACTCCGTAGCCTACCACCGACCTGCAGCAGAGAATTCAATAAAAATCAGCAACGTAGAATTCTTTTTGGAAGGGGAGGCAGAGTTAACCAGACTTTATGTATATTCGTGCGTGCATTTGCGTGCGCGCGCGCGCGCGCGCGTGTGTGTGTGTGTGTGTGTGTGTGTGTGTGTGTGTGTGTGTGTGTGTGTGTGTGTGTGTGTGTGTGTGTGTGTATACCCATGGAAAATTGGAAGCTTTCAGAAGTGTTTGAACCCCCGCCCCCCCTTCTGGCTACGCCGCTGATGAAGATAATGTGCCTTGTGGCGTGACACAAATTATACCTCGTTCAGTGCTCTTTTTGAAAACGCCCAAACAGAAAAGTTCTAATAAGTATTGCAAGTTAATGACAGTCATTCTTCAACAGCACTTCTTTCGTTAGAAACACATGAAAAAAAACAAAAAAAAACATGTGATGCGTCGTCCTGTAGACGCATTGCATTATTTAGACTGTCCCTGTCACAAGTGATGCCATTGAACACAGAGCTTCGGAGGAAGACTGAGCTCTGTAAGCTCTAAGGCTGGAAACAATGTATCCACAAGCATACTGTTCTATTTCGTAGAACCAATGTTTTGGACTTCAGCACTTGATTGCATTATTGTTGCAGGAGGGATGGGTTTATCACTGGATATATGAAGTAGCCTAGTGATGAGAACGCCGACAGTCAGGCATAACTAACTCCATGGAAAATTCAGCTTGGGACAGAGAGAGAGAGAAATTAAGAGGAAAGGCAGGAAGGTTGACCTAGCTTTGTCTCGCCTGGCTGCCCTAGACGTGGAGTGGAGGATGAAAGGAAAACATTAGATATGATATGCAAGAAAGAACAAGAAAAAGAAGAAATAACAGTTAGAGAAAGAGATGTCTATTACTCAGAAACTGTAAGCATATGGTAGCGAATAGCAACTGCAGTGCTTGCAATGGTTAGTATTGTGTTAGCATTGTTCTTGCCAAATTCATACACACCGTGCGATGACTAATGGTTCGTCTTACTTCAAAAAGCAACTGTTTCAAATGCGAAAATAAGTACAACTTTAAAGCCTGCTCCACTCCGATAAAAATCCTCGGAAAAAGAAGCTGTTCTAACGATCTGCGCATCTCCACCACCATCATATCATCATCACTTCAAGTCGTAACCATGATTTAACACTAATGTCATCATCATCATAACACCACCGTTTCGTTTTATTTTTTTATTCAATACCCGCTCTGATCGCGTGACCTGCGTGACTACTACTACTACTACTACTACTACTACTACTACTACTACTACTACTACTACTACTACTACTACTACTACCTTTATCTCTACTACTACTAGTATATTTTATCTCTATAACGTGTACTACTACTACGACGACGACGGCTACGACAATGGTAGCTGTAGTATTGGCGTCACATCATAAAGACATCTTCACTGTAAAAAAACAAAAATTCTTACCGGTTCTGATCGTCTCGTCGCGCTACCACTACGGCATTGCCCTTTTCGGCCAGAACAAGACCCATGAAACGTTTCCTGTGGAAGCCAAACACGGTGGCGTCGTAGTCGGCGATGGCGGACACCGTCTCGGAGTCGTCTTGCACCTGTACAGCCTCCACCTGCACGCCCTCCACGCTCTGGGTCAGCGAGGAGATGTCGGCGGGTCCCGGCCGAATGTAGCGAATGGTCTGCGGCGATACGCACTCGAAGCCGAAGCGCCGGTAGTACATGGCCACGTGGAATCCACCGCAGATGAGGAACGCGTTTCTGTCGGCACCGAGGCGCTGCTCGACGGCCTCCTGCCAGAGCCTGGTGGCGAGCCCCGACTTCTGGAGCTCGGCGCGAACCGCGTGCATCATCACGTACGCTAGGTCGGGGTGCAGGTCCACGACGGCGCAACTGCCCAGCACCTGACCTGAGGTGATTCGAACATAACTTCTGAGTCATCCTCCAACGTATTTGTGTTTCTGCGTTAAGTGTATTTATTATTTTTGTGTCACTTGTGTGTCATGTATACCTTCAAAATTACAAGGGTATAAGTAACAAATTTATTCGAAAAGAAATAAGTTACTGTAGATATCGTGTTGTCTGAAACTGCTTGTATGTCATATGTTCTACAGATGCGCGCATCAAAAGTGAAGAGAGGGAGAGAGACAGTCGTCATACATTAACCACACGCTAAAAGACGCGCCACAGCAAACTGAATCAATGGTGTAGCCAAACAAGAGGGTGGGGGGAAGGGTACACCCCCTCGCTCCAAAACTTTTTAACATTTCGCAAAACGATCTACTCGTTTTGACGTGCAGACCTAATCAGAAGTTTTACAAACCGATCTATAACATTCTTATTGGAAATGTTTGCCCAGCTTCGTTGCTTCAAAAGTTGCTTAGTTCAATGTGCCAAAATAGGCAATTAAGCAAAAGACAGAAACACAGCGTGTATCACTCCATGGAAGAGTAAGCAACATTCCTTTCGTCTCGCCGTCATATAGTGCGTCGGTATATTTTACAACTCTGTCTAGAGATCTGGGACACCCTGCAGATTCTAGGCGAATAATGTACAGGGAAGCTTGGACGCACAATATCAGTATAAAGAAGCGTTAGTCAGCTCTAATCATCAGTGTCCTCTTCTCAATGCGTGGAAGCATGAAAAGAGTGTTCTGCTGCACGGCTCTGGTTTATTGCGAAGACGGAGTGTGGTGAGTAACCTTATTCGCATCATGTCAAATTACTTCTCTATTCTTGTTTCATGAAGTGTTTTACGCTTCCTGAATCTTTGAGATGCACGTGGGGAAAATCACGCTAGATTAACTCCGGTAAATATGTAAAAAAAACATCATCGTCATAAATAACCATCCTTAGAACGTGAACTGCCAAGAAATGGTGGCCCTGAAATATTTATCCACTTACTGTTGGTAAATGGTCAGCAAAACCAACCCGACCTTGGTATGGAGATTCCAGCTAGCCATGATGCCATCTTTAACAGACAATTGAGAAAACAGATGGGAAAGGTAAGGAAGTTAACCATGCTGAGCATTGTTATCTATATTGAACTTTAGAAGAAAAAAATGGGGTGTGGTAGGGGGGTGAAAAATGAAGAGGTGGGGAGAAGTTTGCGCTTTACACAGACTCGTTTCCCGCCGAAAAATCACTGTTAGTCCAGTTCACACGCCCATGAGGTGACCCGTAGTGGTAACCATGAAACCTTTACAGGCAAGAAGTTCAGATATTTAAATAGTGTCACGTGGTCGGGACGTGGACGAAAAGAGCCGACCATAAATGAAGCTCGTCGGCATTTATACACGCGCCGTAGAATATTCTAGCGTTATCGCTAGCGTTCACGTAGGTTGCAGAATAATCTGTAATGCTCGCAATATGTGCGTAATCTTAACGAAACAATCTACTACAGTCCTGAAGCTTCTCGAACACTGCAGGCACGGTTTGCGCTGGGAATTACTGACAGTGCAACGGGGCGGTAACACCGGAGAGAATATGGCGATAACAAGGGGGTACTTGGTGGAGACCTGTAAAGATCTGTTTACCGTTTTCTTTATTCCCACATATATCATACAAAAACAAACCATCAAAATATTGTGGCTAGTAACACAACATCGGAGAGAATATGGTAATAGCGAGAGGGTACTTGGTAAAGGCATGTAAAGATCTGCTTACCATTTTCTTTTTTCCCACATATATCATACAAAAAACAAATCATTTATATTGTGGCTAACACAGGGAACTTCCGAAATGCATCTGAAACGCCCTATACCTTAGCGAGCAACGCACAGGGCATTAATACGCACCAGAATTTACGTGACGCTATAATTCGGAATGCGAGAAGGAGGGAAGGAACGAAACAGGAAAGGTAGAAAATGCAGATATGTTAACCAGTTCAGGATAACCAGTATGCTGTCCTTCTCTGGGGACCGAAAGAGGAGAGTTTTAAAGCTTCAGATGTTAAGGAAGACAAACCCGAAGCACACAAATGCATACAAAGTCACAGTAGGATGCATAGGATTCTTTCAGATATACCTGAGGGGCTCCTTGTCAAATTAAGTATATAAATGAAACATAAACATCGTTTGAAAACAAAACGCACTTAAAGTAGTATTATAATCACTGGCGTTTCAGTTCCCGAAATTAACGATATGATTGAGAAGGACGCCATAGTGTAAGGCTCGGAAATTCCTACAAGCTACATCTATAAGTAGACTGGCCTCGCTTTCTCCACCCTTCCTATACTGCCCCTTCTGTGGATCCGTACCAACAGTGTCCCGCTCGGCGTTGGAATGCCCTGCCCCATAGTGTGTTCCTCCCCCCCCCCCCCCTTCCTAATCTACATTGCTTAGCCAAACGGCGGCAGGAACAGCAGCAGCAGCAGCAGCACGCATAGCGTGCTCGCTGAATCGTGCAAGGCAGGAGCCCTGGACTTGCCTCCCGCCGCCCCTACTATGGTTTTCTGTCTATTCACAAATAAAAAGTATACTCTCTCTCTCTCTAGGATTTCGTCTCCATCTAAATGCGGATGCCGCGGCAAAACAAAAGGTGCTGGGGTCAAAGACATGCGCTCAAAGTTTTCAAAAAAAGCGAGATGCTTCAGCGAGAAAGGCTGCGTACGGGAACAATCAATAAAAATATGTGCCTTTTCTAGTTTAACGCTGCAGTTTCAGCCTCAGTGTTAGATAGTGTTTCAATAGCTACCACAGTTCTACACAATGTATGATGCACTCAACGTGTAAGTCAGCGAGAAAAAGAAAAAAGATGACCACTTTTTCTTGTGTAAACAGGAAAGCGTGCATTGACTGGGTCCAAACAAACGACCGCTGAGTCGGTGAACGCAATGGTGCGTTCGACGCGCATAAGCAGTGACCTTTGAAAGAACTGATAAGAAGAACAATGGCTCGGGGTATACATCCGCTGCATGCGTTGTGTCAGTTTATTTTGACTCAAGTGCAGTGTCAGGCTAAAGAACTAAATGTGAAAGGCTGCAACAATGAAGCAACGGTATTTCTTTTTTACTAAACACTGCAGAGTTCAACTCAGTCCTTTTTTTTTGTGCTGTTATACGGTGACGTAATTTCGTTCACCAGGGCTTGAGCAAACCAGCGAAGCAAGAAAATAAAAAAAGACATGGCATGCTTTCTTTGCGTGTAACGTTAAGACAACACGTTGATTGTCAGTTTACAGCACATCAATAACATGGTGCGTTATCACTAAGATATCTGCGTTAGTGCGACAGCTTCAGTTTCTTTTATGCTTTGTGGCTTTGTTTTGTATTTCTGAGAACACAAGTCTGTAAATAACGATTGTTCACGCGAATAGGATCAACTATTTCTACACCGTGGAGGCCGTGGTAGAGATTAAAATGAGGTTTGTTCACGTATATACGAACTTTTACGAAAATATATTATGGCCCTTAATAAAAAAACATTCGATTATCTGATCACTAAGGAAACAAAAGCTACAATAGCTAGCTAGCACCCGGACATATCAGGATATGTAAGATTGAATATTCATAAAATAGTCGTAATATTCTACCATCAGTGGTACGGGATAACTAGTCGTGCACAAGACCCGCGGCAAGGTAAGACACGGATGGGGGTGGGGGTGAGGGATCACACTCGCCAGCAGGTTTTTGTAACGTTGAGGAAGTACTACATCTTGAGTGTATAGTTCGGTGGACTAGCTGGGAGCAGAAAGGTTACAACGGGCACAGACGGAGACAATAAAGAAACAAGGCACGGCGCTGTGTCTTTTTCACTTTGTCCCCGCTTGTGTGTGCGCTGTAATGTTTCCGAGGCATTGCGCGCCTCTGACGTGTGCGATTTGCATATGTTTTTCTTCGGTAGCATTTGAGTAACTTTTTGCTTTTGGACTGGAAATAGAAAATTTCGCTCGAGTTTTCTGTGGCTGCAGTGATTAACGAACGCGAAACAGCAATGGGCCGCCCAGCAGGCCCACGAAGCGGCCGCCAGGTACTCCCTGTCGGTCCCTACGTGGGAGACGCCCGCTACGCGCTAAGCGCGTCCTGCAGGACTGAAATAAAGTTTTTTCATTCCATTCCAAACAAGAGTGTGAGCAGACAAAAGAGAAAAGAAAGAAAACGTAAGCTTGAGCTTCTTGGCAAAGCCTACAATACTTATCACAAATCTTTAAAAAGCAAACCTTACCATAAACATCGCGTACAGTTCAGTCCATTTTACAATGTATACTAGTTATATGTGTTTCGTTTTAGCTACTTCAGGCGTGCAGTTAGCACTAATGCCTTCTATGGAGATCAAGCTTGCGTTAGTTCTTCATTTACTGCGTCTTTAAATTTGTTTGACACTTCGCAACAGGTGACGTTGTACAGCGCTCAAACGACAGACCACACTTTACTGCTCACCATCCTCGGTGACTGCGACGTAGATACAGTCCGGGTCGTACTTGGTCAGCGCGTCCAGTGCCCCGATGCCCAGTTGTTGGCCATAACTTCTACGCAACTCAGTCACGCCTTCCTTGTCCTGCTCACGCATCGGTCGAATCGTCGTTCCTTTTTCCTCCATGCTGTCTGCTCAATAAACTCTTGTTAATGTCCTACTCGTAGATCCCGAACGAAGAAAAGCGAGTGAATAAGCGCGCCTATGAGACGTCGTTTGTATCAACTCAGCTCCGCTTTCTGTCCAACAGCGATCAAAATTTTTCCACCAACGGCCCTTGAAACCGTCAGCTATGGGTTCGAACTGAAAGTTTACTAAACGGCCGAGATTAGGAGCATCCGTCAGTTCCGATACCGCGCGCCGAGACCATGGACGCGGAGGGGAAAGCCCGTTGTGTGTGAGCCGCTGGCGAGAGGTAATGGAGAGAGGCGTTGGACATCGAGCCCATGAAGCAATCTTGCGGGCTTATCGCTCATCGGACAGTTCAACGTGTTATCTTGCGTGCCCCGTGTCCAGTCTATTGTGCAGCGTTCGTTAGCGCACGATGCGGTAAACCCGGCAGTCGTGCGCAGGAGAGCCGACGAGATAGGCGAGTTCCCTATCGAACTTGGAATCGTTATCTAGAAAGAAATAAACAAAAGAGAGGGGGAGGTAGGAAGTATCTCAAGTGCTAATGCGCTGCATACCTTCGATCTTAGTAATTCACAAATGTTGGCAAAGAAGAGCCTGCATTCACAGCAGTGATTTTTTAAACGTGTGCTTCTGGAGATGAGCCATTGCCACAGAGACCACCTCGTTATCACGCCCGATCTTCTGGACTCGAACGTCTCTACTAAAGGGAATTACGCAACGAAAGCGTTTCGAATACACGTGCAAGGTTCTAGTTCGCGTTGCGATTCATGATAGCGATGCAGCTGCACCAATGTGGTCTGTGAAATTCTCGTATTAAGGGAAACGACAGGAAAAGGGTTGTGAGGCATAGGATCGATTGATATGTGGGGTTTAACGTCCCAAAACCACCATATGATTATGAGAGATGCCGTAGTGGAGGGCTCCGGAAATTTTGACCACCTGGGGATTTTTAACGTCCACCCAAATCTGCGCCCACGGGCCTACAACATTTCCACCTCCATCGGAAATGCAGCCGCCGCAGTAGGGATTTGAACCCGCGACCTGCGGTTCAGCAGCCGAGTACCTTAGCCACTAGACCACCGCGGCGGGGCTGTGAGGCATAGGCGTACGCATGACAGGATAAGAAGGACGGGGGTGCCCTTTCCCCAAGGCATATTAACGGGGACTTCTAGTCTGCCCCACATCTTTACAGAGTTGGACATGTACCGTCACTGTGTAAAGTGCAGAGTTATGGCCATGAAGGTTTTCGACGACAAGGGCAATAGAAAAATGGCAGCATATCCACGGAGTGAATGATGGAGAGTGGGGCGAAGCATTCGTCCGTCCATGCGTCCGTCTGTGTGACCGTCCATGCGTCTGTTCGTGCGCCAGTCCCCGCGTTCGTTCATGCATCCGCCCCTGCGTCCGTTCATGCGTCCATCCATGCATCTGTCTGTGTGTCCGTTCGTCCATCTATTCAACACTCCAAGTCCCACCATCTCGCATCTTTTTATCATATATTCCCCATATAGAAGCACCGCCATTCAGTGGACTTTTCAAGGACTAAACAAGAGGTGGCACACGCACACTTTCTTACGGCTTGCGCTTCGGGTCTACTTCCCACCTTCAACCACCCTGAGTTCATGACATATACTAGTTCACTGTATTCATGGCACTGCGGCCCAATGCTCGCTAAACCTTTCTAAAATCAAGGAGGTTACGCCCAGCGAGTATAACGTAGCAACCTTTTCCTGTCAGATAGTGCTCAATGTACATGCCAGTGGCTGCTAATGTGAAATGAGAGACAGGAGGATTCAGCTTTTAATTTCTTACGGCTTGCGCTTCGTATCTGCTTCCCCCCTTTAACCACCTCGAATTCATTCATGGTATATACTAGTTCATTGTATTCATGGCCCTGCGGCTCAACGCTCGCTAAACCTTTCTAAAACTAAGGAGGTTACACCCAGCGAGTATAATGTAGCAACCCTTTCTTGTCCAATAGTGCTCAATGTGCATGCCAATGGCTGCTAATGGGGATCGCAGCGTGTGCGTTAACTAAAAGCCGAATGCTCCTGTCTCTCATTCCCCATTAGCAGCCATTGGCATGTACATTGAGCACTATTTTTTATTGTTAAACAACGCACAGAAGAAATCTCTCGCCGGCACCACCTTGGAGGTCAAGTGTTATACCTATTTCTGGTATGTGCCACTGGTGGTTACGTACTACGAGGGACGCACAAGCGACGCCATAAGGAGCGTCTTAGCGTCTCAAGTTGTCGTTAGCGTCTCACGGCGTCTCTGGGCTGGCGGACGCCCGTCATGGCAAGCCAGCCCCCGAAGAAGGCGCTAGCCTTCGACGTAGTCGTCCCCGAGGGGACTAGTCCCGAAGACGTCGTTGACGCGACGTCTTCAATAGTAGGAATCGAAGAAGTATACTGCGTTCAGCTCTTTGGAGGCCGGAACTACCAAGTTACCGTCAACAGTGAGGCCGCACTGGCCCAAATCGTAGACGCGTCGCACCTCATCATCCGAGGAGAGCGCGTCGCCATCGTACCCCTGGGACCCCAAGTGACCCAAGTGACCGTCCTGTTCCTGCCGTGCCGCGTACCCAGCGAAGTCCTCGCACAAGCACTCTCTCCCTACGGGAAGGTGCTGCACATCACCAGAGGACTCATGGGATCGCGCCCAACCGTGACCACTGGGACGCGATACGTCCGCATGGAAATGAAGGCTTCGTCACCGGTGCCCAACTACCTCAAAGTCGCGGGCCATCGAGTAACCTGTGACTATAAAGGCATCCAGCGAGTGTGTCGTCGATGTGGAGACAGTGGTCACTTCCGCATGAACTGCACAGCTCCATTTTGTGGAAGGTGCGGCGTTTATGGCCATGACGGGAAAGGCTGCTCGCTGCCGTGTCGCCGTTGTGGGGACCCGCATGCCACCGTGGCCTGCACCATCAGGCCATCGTATTCCGAGGCGGCATCCAAGGATTTCCCCCCACTTCAACCAGGAACGCCATCTAAGAACAAGTGCGACGATTCGTCAACGCGAGCCGTGGTAACCGACCACGACCAAGGCGTGCCAATCGCGACGCTGCACCAGACGCCCACTGCGTTTCCAACGATTCCGGGCCTGGTAATCCCTCCAGGTACTGAAAACTTAAGTTCCCCGCGTCCCGTGGCCATTTCTGAGGAGTCGCAGGCCAAGCCCTCGTCAGACGAAGCGCCTCGTGAAGACGGCGTCTCGGATGGGAATATTGCATCTGAGGCTCCTCGCGTTGCTGCTCAGTCGACAACAAGTTCAGGTGTCATCGAGGAGTCTACACCTCAAGACGACGACGCCTGCATCCACGAGGACTCCAACAGCACCACGAGTGAGGCGCCCCTACAAATTGACGAAGACGCCAGCTCCAGTGACATAAGCCAGGACAGTGGAGACGTCTTTGTACCATCCTCGCTCAAAAACCCGGACACCAAACGCCACCGGATAACTACTCGTGACTTAGAAGCCCCCACCAGAGACAGAAGTCCCCTGCGGACTTCGACGCGATCCCGGAAGCCCCGAGCCTCCGGTGGATCGCCTGGCCGGAAAAAATGACTCAGCCACTTGCGGGGCATTGGCTCCCGCACCTGATAAAGGTACCCCTGCATTTGCGTGATCCTATAGAATGTTTTCACTTTCCCCATGGCTCTTACTCTAAAAGTTATTACTTTTAACGTTCAAGGTTTCCGAAATCCACAAAAACAGGCTGAGGTATTGGCTTTCGCACGTTCAGTGCATTGTGATTTGCTGTTTGTGCAAGAAACAAATTTTTTCAAGCTTTCTGATGTACTCGCTTTCAAGCGCGCGTTCAATATTGATTGTTTCTTTTCGTACGCCAGCACGCATTCGACTGGCGTCGGAGTCGTTATTTTTAACCGAGGTCTTTTACGTGACCATCATGTTTCCTTCGATGCCTTCGGACGCGTGCTGGCGTTCGACTGCACCTTTTTCTCGTTAAGAATGAGATTTGTTGCCGTGTATGCCCCAGCGGCACGCGAGAACTCAAACGCGTTCTTCCAATCTCTTGATGCGTTTCTTTTAAATTCCCGACATGTGGTACTTTTAGGGGATTTCAATTGTGTCTTAGACTCACACGCAGACGTTCGAGGTCCGGGTCGCGGCCGGTCAAACTGGAATGCCAGAGAACTCGAACGTCTAGTGCAGCAATTGGCATTGAGTGACATTCATCAAAGTGTACATGGCAGTAATTATGCCTATACTTGGCGTCGAGCAGCGTCGAGCAGCCGAATTGATCGCGTGTATGCATCTCCCAGTCTCATTACCTACGTTCACGACACCGGGGTAATGTCATTGCCACCGACACCAGTATACATTAGCGACCATCGGCCGGTTATGTTCTCTCTTCGCCTGCCAGCGGGGACGCCAACGGTTCACAGACCATGGCGTCTCGATTGCCGCGTCCTCCAGGACTCTCAGGCTACGGAGAAATTATCCCGAGCGTTACGCGCATCGCTCATTGGGGCGGATGTAGCTGATTGGGATCGCCTCAAAGAACAGTGGCGGCATCATTGCAGTGCGTCGGGCAGAGGACTTTGCACCCGTATGTCAAAAGATGCGTCATTGTTAATCCAGAAGATACGCATTGCCAATCGAGATCCCAGTCCTTCCACTGTAATGCGGGCATGGCAAGAGGAGCTCGTTGAACGGTACCAGCGTATTATGCGCGCTTCTTCCCTCTCGGCAGCAGCTTGGCGCTGTAGACGTGCACCCTGTGCGCACCCTGAGGTGCTAAGGTATGCACGCAGAGCTCTGCTTCGTCCACCAGGCTCGCCTGCCCACTCGCTGAACTCTATCACCCCAGCTGCTACGGGTACGCGCGACTTTCAGGAATTCACTCAACACTTTGAGTCAATGGCTAAATCTGGTGCTAATGTCTGTTACCCAGGATCCGTTTCTTCGCATCCTCTGCTAACAGATTTACCTCATGATTCCAACATGTCAAATGACGTCCTCCTATCACCACCATCCGATGACGAAATCAAAGGCGCATTAGACGCAATGAAAAAGGGATCGGCCCCAGGGCCTGACGGACTTCCTGCAGAGTTTTATGTACAGTTCTGGCCTATCATTGGTCCAACTATGTCACGCGTCATTCGCAGGTGTTTCCAAGATATTACACTTCCAACTTCTTTCCACAAAGGCCGTATAACACTAGTTCCCAAGAAAGACCCAATGTCCACGCGGCCAGAAGATTGGCGCCCTATTACCTTG